GAAGAATTTAAGCTGAAAGTCGACCATAGAATGTATGAACATCGCCAAATTTGTCGTTATTTTAATGGCGTACATATTATGTGAGAGTTGATCACCAAATGAACAGAAATTGTAACTACAAACATCGTTAAAACGAACATGACAATGAATTTTAGTTTCAATGACATTCGAACATATGAAACAGAATTGTAATTTTCTCATCATTTATGGATGAAACTATGGAAATAGAAAGTGTAGCAATTATTGGTGTATCTATGATATAGATTTTAAACAAACTGATAATGATGCAGAGGATTCATTAGAAAAAGATTTTCTGTTAACTTGATTAGAGGGATCTATTGAATTAGTTCGATTTCGTAGAATTTCATTATTCTATCGAATAATCTTAATTCTTTAAAATTTCTTTTGTCTATTGAATTTTTCAAAAATTTAGTTTAATTAAAAAGGAAGAAAAATGATTGGTGTTTTGACAAATTCAAATTCAGTTCGTATACCAATTGTTCAAAGTAAGTTATAGAGTTTACTTATTTGATAAATTCCTTATTTTTTGATTCATTAGCTGGATGTTGTAAAGCAGAATTTGATTCAACATATCCAATTCATCTAAATGGTATAATTAGTAAAGATGAATTTCGAAAATCAGTTAATAAAATTAATCATCCAGATTCTTCAAATAAAAATTTAAAAATTCTCATAGTGGCTTCTATTTTGAGCATGATAATTGGATTTGTATGTTGTGTCGTTGCCCCAGCAGCAAACACTAATACACAGTTAGTGGCATTATTGGTTGCAGGCAACATATTGATGGCAATTGGATCAATAATTCTTGGTTGTTTAGGTTGTACCATACACTCGAGACGTGTAGCACGATGGCGATAAGCCATTGCTGAAGAATCAATTAAATATTCATCGAGATCACCAACACCATGTAGTTGGAGATTAGATATTTCGACAGTGTGGGTTGCAGAACATGGAAATCATCGTAACAATCAGTTTGGTTATCATGTATGTATTTATCATTTATAAAACATCTTCAGTTGTTTAAAGAATATCAATAATAATTAAAAATAAAGTACACTATAAAGGATGTTTCATAATAACTAACGGTAAATTGTTAATGATATTTTTCATACTTTTTCTTAATGTAGACGGCTAAAACTTTTTATGACATATATATCTAATCAAGATCTTTTATTTCTGAAAGTTTCAGCTCTCTAGCTAAATCTAGTAGTGAAATGCAGCATCAAGACTGAAATACATAAATTTTCATACTCGATTTTTGCAATATTTTTACTGTGAAAATATTGCAGGGTAGTTCCATGGGTAGTCGACCAAAAAAAGTCACAAAGTATTCAAAATAATTTTCTTTCCTATTAGACTTAGTACAGTTTTTTTCGCTGATCATTTTGGTAAAAAAAAACTTTTCAAATTTCATTGAGCAATGACAATGTTATAGTCAAAATACTAAAACACTGTAAAATAGTTTAAAATGTAAGGAAAAGTCGATTCACATATGTCAAAATGGCTATACTCTGGAGAAATGTAACATAGTAGATTTTGTAGAGAAAAGTTTGTTCTACAAAATCCTATATTCGGTTTCTCAGATAAAGGCGAATAGGATGAATAAATCTCGATTGAACATTGTATACGATATTCGTATCCAAAAAAAAATCTGACATGTTCTGCTTTTACGATAAATATTTTAACTATAACATCATCATTTCTCAATGAAGTTTCGAAAAGTTTTTTCTTACCAAAATGATCAGCAAAAAAAGCTCTACAAAGTCCGGTACGAATGAAAATTTTCTGAATAGTTTTTGATTTTTTAGTCGATTACCCACGGAACTATTCTGCAATATTGAGTACGAAAATTTATATATTTCAATCTTGTCGATGTATTTCACCAGTAGTTTTAGTTAGAGAGCTGAAACTTTCAGCCTTCTACGTCAAGAAAAATGTTAATTATTATATTAAGTGTTTTCTAAAATAGTATTACAAGAGAAATAGTAGCAATTGAACATCGAATAAAGAAGATGAATAATATACATCTTTTATTTTAGAATCGATCTGAATAAACTTTTGGAAAATTTTTCTTTATAAAGCTCTTTTATTAGTTTGTTTTGACTTGTTTTAGTTGGTGATTGATATTGGTCGTTCTACTAACACAAGCAGTGTGGTAGATCAATCGAATCAAGTTGTTTCTAATCCAACATCATTTTATGGACAACAAGCAGAGATGGGCAAGTCAGCGATTTTTCGCTCAAGTCAAGTCAAGTCAAGTCAAGTCAAGTCATAACTAGTTCAAAAACTTTCAAGTCAAGTCGCCGCTAATTCAAAAAAAGTTCTAAGTCAAGTCAAGTCAAGTCATGTCTTAAAATTTTTGAAGTCAAGTCAAAATTCAAATCAGTTCTCCTCAAGTTTTCTTTTATTCATGAAAGATCAAGATATGATACTTTCATTCTATTTCAAACGAAAAAGAGTTTCTAACAAAGTTTCTAACAAAGCTGCAAAAGAGTCTTAATATTTCCAAAATCCTTTATTCTACTTCGGGCTGAAGTCACTTTGGCGAAACAGTTGTTGTTTCTAATTATATTTTCCTGTTAGATTTCAAATTAGAAACCAAAATTGAAGTGCATAAAAAATTGATATGCTTATGCATTTTTGGACTTGACTTGACTTG